ATAGTTCTTTTTTTTTCTTTATTTTATATAGGCACAATCTAATTTGGGTGGTTGGGTGGTATGCTCGTGAGCAATGCACGAGTGATTTGTAATTCCAATTGTGATCGCGTATTTCAGATAAAATGCCTGGGAAAAAGGCCCAGCGAAAGACAGCTAACAAAGTAAATCAGCCGGTAAGGAGCCAAGGTGTTCAGATGGAAACATGCCTTCAATACCAATTTTTGGACATGGATCAAAGATTTAATTTTCAGAGCATTGGCGATATGAAAAAATACCTTGATATCGCGATGAACATTGGAGATGAAAAAAAGGAACAATTTGCTTGTTTCTTTCTGCTTAGAAGTTACAGAGATCTGAATCAGCACTGTGAATCACTTTCATATGGGAAAAGGTGTCTTAAACTATGTGAGAAAAGCGGAGACAAAGCAATTGAAATGACATCATCTTTTATAATGGGTAAAATATATTTTGAGGAAAAGAACTTTGACGAGGCGGTTGTTTATGGTCAGCGAGGTCTCAAATGTGCCAAAGACATTGGTGATACGAGATATCAATCAATGATCTACCTACTTCTGCAAGATTGTTTYCTTAGTTTGAAGAAATACAAAGAAGCTATCAGTGCCGGGCAAAGATGCCTTGAGGTTTCTAAAGCTATCGGAGATACATTTGGTGAAAGCTTCTCCTTGCAACTTTCTGGTGAAACATACCGATTACTTAATCAATCTGAAGATGCTARCAATTGCTTCATAAAGGCCAGTGATGCTGCAGAACAATCTGATAATGCAAGTAGCAAAGCGGCAATAAATTTTGATATCGGAAAGTCGTTCTTCAAGAGCTGTGAATATGATAAAGCAATTGAATACTTCAAAACATCCATCGAAATTGCTGAAGAGAGTGGCTTTGATACCACACACAWGCATATGGCTTTAGCCRATAGTTACCTCGRAWTAGGTGAAMASSATTTTGCTCTARCTCACGCCATGAAATGCCTYAAATCAAGCAAAAGAATCGAAGACAAGCACGCTGAGATGGATGCATATRSATTGCTTGGTWATATTCTTGAATTGATGGAKAGACATGAAAATGCTCTTTTGAATATMAACAAAGCAATTGCRATCATGGAWGAAACAGGTTTGAAGSACCATGAACATGAGCTGTATTTCCGACAAGGAAAATTAAGCAAAGGCTTARMRAARTACRCTGATGCAATTGAGTCTTTTCAGAAGTGCGCCAACGTTGCACGGAAAACAGAAAACAAGCAATTCGAAAAAGATTGCTATTTTGAGATTGCAAATTCATATGAGTTCATTAATCAGTTTGATAGAGCTGTTGTGTATGGAAGGAAGCTCATGAGAATCGCAAAAGATTCTGGTGATGTTGATGATGTACTTGAAGCACATCTGTCATTAGGAATAGCACTACGGGAATTGGATCAGTACGAAGATGCTCATTCTCATCTCCTCGCGGGAAAAAAGATGTCTGAGTCGCACAAAAACATCCACTATGCTGAGRAATTTCAAGAACWTTTGGACATGTTCTCCAAACGCATTGGTTTGAAGGAAGAAGCCATCGACTATAAAAAAGTCGCCAATAACGTTTACGAATCCAAGGAATTCCAATTCGCTTGCTGCGACCTTGATAKGAAGCAYTTACATGAATACAACGATTCCATGAAACAGGGTGATTACAAAGAAGCTATTACCAATCTGAAAAAACATTTGAAAGAATTTGACAACCATTGGTACTACCACGGGAATGCAAGAGTTCACTGCCTGCTAGAAATCGCTCTTCTTCACAATAAAGTCAATCAATATGAGGAGGCTTTGAAGAGCTGTCAGGAAGGTCTTTCTATTGCAAAWCAACTTGGATCCAAGGATCTCCAAGCAAGATGCAAGTACATAGAAGGARAGTTATACTCACATTTGGGGAAGATAAGTAAAGCTATCAATTCTTACCAAGAAGCTATCCRTTACTTTGACTTGATGTTCGAWTCATTTGAAGCAGATAGCCAGGAATTTAAGATYTCACTTTTTGAAATGCATGCCAACTGCCATTCAGCTTTAATAGATGCGCTCCTTTGCCGTAGGCACCTAAAGAAAGCGCTTATGGCTTGTGATCATCGTCGTGCAAGAGCCCTTAAGGATCTTCTTCGAATGTATAACATGGACGTCAACAGTAAAMYCGTCCAGGAGGACAAACTGCWRTTCAGCGACATCRAAGACCTTGTTTCAAGAGGTGCTTTTTCMATACTGAGTTACACTTATCATGTACACTGTCCAATGTGTGAGAAAGTGTACAATTTTCTCATTGATAAGAAGAAGGAATTGCAATTCATAATAGTCTCGGGAAAGAAAAACAGTTGTGAAAGCATTCAACATCATATCGATAGAGCTTTTCAAGAAATTCATCTAATGAGACCAAACACCAGATGCGAAAACAGGTCGACCAGCGCACATTCTGAAGAAGCAGAGAGTAACGCTGAAGCTGGATCATCAAGCATGAGCCAAGTGGACAACACCTTGGCGCCATTGAAGGCCAAAACAAGGCAACCCCCAGGCAACACAAATCTCTTAAATGAGACTACAGAAGGTACACATTGCAATTGCAAATTGACGGGCTTAAAGATGTTGCACCATTTGCTGATAAGTCGACCCATGTACTCAGACAATGGTCGCAAAGCAAAACCAAGGACTAAACCTTGCCAACCTTCCCAGGAGGAACTGGTTATAATCCCCGATGGTCCGCTATATAACGTACCATTTGCTGYTCTTCAGGACCCCGACACTGGAGAGTACCTCTCAGAAACCAAGCGCATCAGAATAGCACCATCGATAGCTACATTAAAACTCTTAATGGAGCGTCCAGAYGATTTTGAATGCAAAACAGGTGCGCTTATCATAGGAGATCCCGAAGTTGGAAAMGTTATCTRTGATGGMAAAGAAARASAATTCCSAACATTGTWTYTGGCATATGCCGAGGCCTTGGAGATTCATCRKATAYTTSGCGATCAGATYCTCTTGCGAAAAAACGCAACTAAAGCTGCTGTATTRRAGCGTCTCAAGGAAGGAGTGTCAGTTGTACACATYGCTGCTCATGGAGATGCCACGAAGGCTACAATCGCCCTTGCACCCTCACCTGAAGTAAGAGCATCAAAGATTCCTGAAGAAGAGGACTACATGTTAACCATGGCTGACGTCCAAAAGGCCAAAGTGCGAGCAAAGCTAGTAGTGCTGAGCTGTTGTCACAGTGGGCAAGGCGAGATCAAAGCAGAGGGRATGGTTGGCATGTGTCGTGCATTTCTGGCGTCAGGAGCCCGTGCTGTGGTAGCATCCCAGTGGGCCATAAATGATGATGCTACTCTTGAGTTCATGAAGGTGTTCTATCGTAATCTRAAGGAAAAGAAGAGTGCAAGTTTGAGTCTTCAACTGGCGATGAAGTTCATGAGAAGAACCGAGCAGTACCACGAGCCCAAGTACTGGGCTCCATTCTTCCTGATGGGTGATGATGTAGTCATTGACGTTAACTAGAGACGTTCATTATAGTAGCTATTTTCAGACCTCAAGGTCTAATAAACTTCCATGTAGCAGTACCCCCCATTAGTCCAAAAGTCTATGTAAGTACTGCTGCAAWGGTATGTTTCAGGATGGACATCTTCCATCTCAATGTAACTATTTTTGTTGTKATCAAATTTGCATTGTATTCATTGACAAAGTTAGTCTGCCTCCGCTACAACACCTAATATGATAATTAGCATTAGCTCATCACAATAAGGATAATTTTACACCCAGTAATAAAAAAAGGAAAAAAAAATCACTTTATAACACGATGGCCTGCTTTAGCAGCCACCACCGTGTCCTAGCGTTGCGTGACGACACAGAGTTGGCTGCTTAAGGAAGCTAATGACACGAGTGCTTCATGGAGTTTTTGAAAATGAGAAAACATGTTACTTCGGACCAGTGCATGAGCTAACCGAAAACTGTTTAGCTATTTCGTAGAGTAATTCCGTGTAAGAGCCTTTATAGTTAGCAATTTCCACCTTTACTTATAATTTCATTGGCTGAAAATGCTATTATTCATGTTTCGTAAAATGTTAGAATCTTTTCGAGATTTAATAGAATAAATATAAACTCATTTAATAGAAAAAAACAGCCAAGTGTATATTGATATAAAATTGCTTTATTGGTTTCATTAAATCATTTAGTTAAAAAATACATTCGTAATATATGGATGTTTATGAAATGTTTTATCTAAACCCTGTATAAAATCAATGTAAATAATAATATTTCGAAAACTGAASAAAACTTGCCACGAAATTTACACCGATTTCCCGTAATGACTTATGAACATTGTACCGTTGATCCAGGGGGGTTCAACTGTRCAAAGCTGGCATTWGTTAATGTTTTTCCCGGTATTAACTAAATAACTTACAAACTTTCTAGGAGGGATCCTTACTTCCCTGAATTAGCCACTGAATGTTCGGTTTTCGTTGCATATTAGCATGGAAAAATATTAAGAATATACTTCAAGTTTAGAAAATGTATTAAGTTAAAATATACTTTAAACTTTACATGCAATGAATTATCCAACCTTAAACGTACAATTGATTATGGGATACTATAGTTGTTTTACGTCCATACAATGTGTCATACATTCTGATATAAATTCAGTTAGTGATTGTCTATAAATTGACATACAAGCTTGAATTTCAATTTGTTATAGTTTGGTAAATAGTATAAATCGTGAGTAATAATCGAAAATACGACCATAAAATCTGTMGAAGAAGTAGAAATCCGTTTGATAGCCGCCATTTTTGTTTACAATCACGCCTATTATCRTAGGTAATTCAGTGAAGCCTCCATTGGGAATTATATATACACGTCCCTATATCATTAAGAAATRTTTTGGTCGCCCCATACAATAAAAATAGCATCAGTAGATAGGTATTACTGCTCGTGCTTTGGACGGATCGGTATATTCCTTACGCGGGACACTTACTGTAAAATTCCCTAATTATTGGTAAATATATGTCTTTTTCCTATCTAAATGGAGCTTATATTGGAAATTACAAAAGATATTTTTATTTGGCTTTGTATTGCCCCCTGGATTGAACGTTTTATGAACTGAAATTTGTCTTTTAATGGTAGTAGAATCTTTCGTTCGCCATATATATAGATATATACTTTCCACACTGACATAAACGAAAAGCCCAAATGTATCTGCTAGACTAATGAAGGGGGAGCGAATATCAGTGATTGTAATTGCTTYAGAGGGTGGATGAAGCAATGCTCTCTTCCTCAGACCCTATAGAGGCAGTTTCCCAGTCGGCAGTAGACCATGATTCCAGACTTCCAGCTTTACTAGGGGAGGACTGGAGCACATTTGTCCTGAGCTGTTGATATATA